AATATCACTCAACATGGACTTTGATGAATGTTCGCGTAGCTCCAGACAGCTGACTCTCCTGCACATCAAGGAACATGCAGAAACTTGTGCATATAATTACATCGCTTGTTGCATTTAATGGCTAGTGTATATTTTTCTCCACTTGTTTTTGGACAGCTGTCTCAGTTTGTTGTCCCGTTCAATTTATTCTTTTCTCCTCTCGTGCTTAACTTGAGAGGTATTTTTATTAGGCCAAAAGGCTTTTAGTGTGATCATATGCAGGTATAGGCAGATGCATTGGTTTTTTGTTGCTTGCCTTTTTTCTGAGTTGTAAAGTCACTAAAGTTGTCAGTCAATTTTAGGTTCTTATTTGCTGTAGTGTTTAGCAAAGTGCAGTTTAAGGTTGTGTTGTATAAGTGTCAAAATTATCAAGGCAAAAAAGTTTGTGATTCTTTTCTTCCCATTGGTGAACTGCAAAATCATTGGCCCTATGATAGATGTGGACACATATAAACTGATATCAGCTCCCTTGAACTTATAAGCAACAACAACAATAAGGCCGTATTTCTGATGTATGTTTGGTTGCACGAGTAGATCATATTTCATTACTTTAAAAAGTAGGGTATTTGATTGTGGTTAAATAATATTCCAGCAAAATTAGACAAAGTTCCAGCCTTACAAACCTGGTTGATATAATGAAAAATAACTACTGCCTCTTTCAGTAATCTCTTACAGAATGCACAAGCTCTAAGAAAAAGAGGGTAAATGTAGGAGCAAAGGGAACTAAGAAGGCAATAGCAGACGAATATAAAATTTACAGCAAAAACATTAGACATCCGAATTTTCTACTTTATCTAAAAGTACATTTGAGCAGATAAAAAAATAATTAAAACAACTGTCTCAAGTATACGAAAACATAAGTACCAAAAAGAAAAACGAAAACAATAAGTAGCAAAGAAATGGAAAAGGGATCGAGATATTTTGTAGCTGAAACAGTGTTGGTAGCGTCTTGCAACCTCGGGTCAAGTGGCTCCAAATCTGATCGGAAAGGGAAAATTTCATCAATTGTATGACATTTATCCAATTTTACTTATCTTGCAACTTGTAGAAAATAACCTTATAATAATCCTTCATCAAAGCAATATCTGCATTATAAAAACCAATTGGACTTGGATATTTTGTCACTTTCTTTAAAGTTTCAATATCAACTTCCTTTTTCAACTCCCAACTTTGGTTTCAATTCTCAAAAACCCAAAGCTCCATCCCTTTTGGTGACAAACAAGTAAACCCCAACTTCCCTATATACTCCACAAGTTGGTTATATCCATAATCTTTATACTCCATTGCATATTTTGGAAGAGAAAATCTTGGAAAAGCTTCTTCTCCATTGTAGTTTAAAGACATCACTTGATCATCTTTTCTTAACTTAAAATAAACCAAACCACTTGCATTAACTGCTGGAGCAAACATGTCAAAATACACTTCCGGAGGTAGTAATAAATTTTTTGCTTCCCTCCAAACCCAAGCTTCTGAATCAAAAATTTCACAACGATAATAATTCAACCCTAATTTTCTATAATGATGATTATAAAGAGTCCGAGGCGACGACAACCTTATGATCTTGAACTGCAAAGGATTTGATTTAAGTACAATCAGAGCAACTTTGACTGTAGAATATCGTATCCTAGGATTAGGGAGTTTAATCCATTGTTTAGTACTAGGTTTACATATGTGGTATCTGTACTGTTTCCTTGTTCTTCTAACACAACACAATCCCTTGCTTTGAAGATGCCTCAATCTTCATATCAAAGTCGTTCTTGAAAATATTTTCGGGGTTTATATATTTGATCATGCCCAACTATTCCTTATAAAAAGGACTAAGCGGTCGTTGAAAATATAATCCGGTTTACAAGTCCGGAGTAGAATCCCACATAGAACTAAGGCTTAGCTACAGTTGTTCAATATTGCTAAGAAACACAAGTCCAAACAATTTCCTAGTTATAAAGATTTAATTTTTATTTCTACTAATTAACTAGCAAATGTTATAAAGCAATAAAATTATCAACTAACAAGGATGAAATTGGAGACAGGCCTAAGGAGGTCTAGAGTTACGATTTCCCCGATTGTCGGAATCGTTCCCGCTACGCCTTCTATAATTTCGCCTAAGTATTCTCTACCGATCGTGAGTACTTTGAGTGTCGTAGCTCTCTCTCGAGCAACTACCACAATTTACTAGACGTATTCTCTCGAACTACGCTAGCTGGCACTAATTCACTGCTCACTACGATCGCACCAAGGTTTCGTTATCTCTAATCCCACATTTAAACCCTCCGTATTGATCTCTCACATACGTTAGGAGTGATGTTGTTCAACAACTACCTAAATGCGTACTCTCTCTCGAGCAATATACACACTAAATATGCACAGTTAATTGATGGTCATTCAATCAACAACAATAAATACGTAGTTGAATAAGTTGAGGAATCCAACGGCTCAATTATATAAAAACATAACAAGAATTTATCCTACAAAAGGTTCTATCAAAACTCTAGATAACAAATTAGCTATTCATAATAGTATGCAAAATTACAATACTAGAATTCATAACCAATAATGAAAATCGGAAGAAGGAAGTGAAAAACTCATAGAAGAATTCGCCTTCTTGCTCCTAGCGTGTTCTTGCATCCTTAGGCTGAATCCATCTCCAAAAACGTCCTCCTTGGTGGAGTCTGACCCTAAAAAACGGTTCTCCTTGTTTAAGGAGTATTTATAGGCTAGGGTTCAAGTCCTAGAGTCCAAATTCGGGTCTGGGTCTTTTAATCCGCGACTTTTAATTACCGTGCTATAGATCTCGCGAAGCCTGGTCTGTAGTGCGGTCGACTTGGCTATAGACCTCGCGAAGCCTGGTCTATAGCGCGGTCGACCAGACTACAGACCTTGCGAAGCCTGGTTTATAGCGCGGTCAACCTGGTTATAGGTCTCGCGAAGCCTGGTCTATAGCGCGGTCGACCTGGCTATAGACCTCGCGAAGCCTGGTCTATAGCGCGGTCGACCTGGCTATAGACCTCGCGAAACCTGGTCTATAACACGGTCAACCTGGCTATAGATCTCGCGAAGCCTGGTCTGTAGCACGATTTGGGTACTTGATGCTTTTGGCTCTTTTCTTGCGTTTTTGTCCTTTTTTTGTGTAACCTTCACTCGTCTTTGTCTTCCGATGCTCCTACACATAAAACAACACAATTTAGTTCAAATGTCGCACAATAAATCACTAAACCAACAAAATATAAGGCGAGTAATGTGCTAAAAGTATAGCATTTTGGCCTAACATCAATATGTGGAAGATATAATGGAGTTTTAACTGAACATCCATTTAATGATACGAACTCGGTAACGTACTTGGTTTTTGATAAAGATTAAACAAAAAAACCTGAAATAGTTTTGCTTTTTTCACAAAACAAATTTGATTCGTAAACTAAATTATGCCACTCTTTATTTACTGTTTTGCATGTGTCTAATGTTTTTAAGAAATTAGTTCGAGTTAATATTTCGAAAATTATATAAAAAGAAGAAAAAGAAGAGAAAGCCATCGAATTGAGTTGAGAGGGAAGAGAAAGTCTGAAAACTCGACGGTGTTATTTAGGTATAAACGAAGAAAATTTATAGAGAAAGTCTGTTCTTGGTTTAGTACAATTCAATACTAACTGGGAAACTATTTCTTTAATTAACTTGTTTTGCTAATGCTTTTCCCTAACGATTAGGAGAATAGTAAAATTTCAACTTTGTTAATTTGTTTAGGGGTAATAAATTTTAGTAAAAAAAAGGTAAACACAAAATAGAGACATGTAAAATATGGAAAGGTTTTAAATACCTAATATTACTATTAAATTCTGTGCCTAAAATTGTAGGGGTATATTATCTCTTTAAGCATGCACCATAAACTATTTATATCTGGTAGTCGAAAAGTGTATAAAATTTGTATATAACATTCAGAATGTATATACATACAAAAATATACAAATTTTATATATTTTTTCGACTATTATTTTTACAGCGACTATACAATGTCATTTTTTCAAAATTTATAGCTTTAGTTCATGTGTAATTAGTTACTACTATTATTTCCCCACTGTAATCATTCTTTATTTATGAAACGGACAGCTAAGAGGATTCTTTTTCTATTTCTTTTAGGATCTTGATATGCTTGGCATAGCATTCTTTCTCAGAATAATTAGGAGTAGTAAATTTTCATGTTTCGTAATTTGATTAGGGGTAATTATTTTGTAACGAAACTAATAAGGTACCAAATTTATAAGTGAGATATAAAACATTGAAAGTTTTTACCTACAATCTTTTTTCGCGTCAACACAGTAGACACTTTCATGTAATCGGCTACAGATTTAATTTTGTAAAACTCTATTGTCATCAGTAAATAAAAATTAAACTTGGAAAGAAAATAGAAAAAAAGACAATCTAGTGCCGCTGGCCTCAGTGGCCTCTATATATAGTTGTGTTTTATTTTACATGACCTCTCTATAACATCCCTATATAATAGATATTTACTATAAAAAATTGAGTTTTTCTCGGAACCGAATATTATATTATGTTATAATGTATGTCCTATATGACAACACTTACTATAGCAAGCAGCCAAAAAATTTTGGAACAAGCAAAACAGTTATAGAGAGGTTTGACTGTATTTCATCTTTTCTTTTTCTTACTTTATTCAGAATAAAGTTCGTCTTTTACCAACTATACTCGTGCAATATTTTACATATATATATATATATACCACGTCGTATTCCAATTTATAATATGTGAACTTACGTTCTCATAATATAAAATTATCAAGATGGATAAAACATTAATAGAATTCCTTTCACTACAATAATAATAAATAATGCAGTAGTAACATAGGTAATTACGAAAAATAATTAATTAGGTAATACAAAACAAAGTCGTCTTTACTTTAATTAAACCAACGTAACCCCTTTTGAATGTATGTTTTAGCAAACAAAAAGGCGATGCCAGAAGCTCCAATATCTTCACCAAATAATTCTCCACAAAAACCAAACTTGCACATATTATATTACGGCCTCGCCATAGTCGGAACCACCGCCGTTTTGCTCGGCATCTACAACCTCCTCCTCATGCGGTGGCGCAGTCATGAAAACAACCGCCGGAATAATATGGGAGGAGCTGCTGATAATAATAATAATCAGTCGTCACTTGAACAAACTAATTCCAGCCGAATTTCTGATCTGAGCTTATTGTCAAGCTTTAGGTACAAAAAAGGAGGAGATAATAATATTAATAATGATCAAGAATGTGCGGTTTGTTTGTCAGCATTTGAAGAAGGAGAAGAAGTGAGAGAGCTACCGAGATGTATGCACTCTTTTCATGTTTCGTGTATTGATATGTGGCTTTATTCTCACTTGGATTGCCCCCTTTGTCGTTCGCCGGTGGAGCCGCTGGTGCTTCGCCGGAATATTTTCACAATGCAAGAGGATAATTCTCCAGAAGGATTGCTAGTTTAATTAAAGGCAGTTCCTTTTTCAGGCCAGGTCTATACTATTATGGAATTAATTAATATCATTTCCGGTGCCATCATTCTTATTATTAGTTACTCCCTCCGTTTTATTTTAGATGATGTAGTTTGATTGACACAAAATTTAAAAAAAAGGGAAGATTTTTGAAACATGTGATGTAAAAGCTTAAGGGGCAAAAGCTTAGTGGGATATTATACTTGTGTGACTATAAAAACTTCTTATTAAAAGTAACTAAGTAGAATGAAAAGTTTAAAGTTAATTTTTTTTTAAATATAGAAATGATCATTTTTTTTTAGAACGGACTAATAAGAAAAGTGTGTCATCTAAATTTGAAACGGAGCGAATAATATTTTCCCCCAATATGGGAAGCAACTACATGAGTTTCGTAATATGTCAAGGTAATAGAATGCCGTCCAATGTCATGCCTTAGGGACTTCCTAATAAATTGTTATTTTCGAAGTTAGCAAAGCCAGCATTCCTTCCCAATGGCTTGTAAATGGAGTAAGTTGTCATCTAGCTAGGCGGCTGACTAAAAAATTCCTAGCTCTAAATTTCGAAAAGTTACAAGGCCAATAAAAGAGTTTCCAGATCATTATACAAGTTAACAACTTACATCCTTCTCAAATTGTCTAACCTTGCCTGAAGGTCACTGTCTATCCCACTGTCATCATTTCCAGTTGCCTCAGCTTGCGCAACCTTGTTCTTTGCTGCTGGAGCAGCCACAGTGGAAGAAGGAGCATTTAGAATGTATCAATTCGAGGACAACGAACAAATTAGCATCAGAAAAGACGAGCGATCCATAATTCACCAACTCTTCTGTTTCTTCTTCCTCATCTCCTTCCAAAGCATCATCAATTGCATCTCCCATTACCTCGCTCACCATTTCCATCTTCTCATTTTGCCTCTGAAATTCTTGCATTATCCTCTGCAGTGCTGGTAAGTTCATCTGTCCCATTGCCTTTGTAACACCTTTCATTGCTTCCCCCATGGCTTGTGTGGATTTCAGAGTCTGGTATTCATGATAAAGACAAAGGGTTACTTTCTTAACAAGGACATATTTTCAAGACAACAATATTTGCAATTGTAAAAGAGTCCATCAAGAAATATTAACCAATCATCACATAGAAATAGCTTTGCCACTCCATTTGAAGGATACAAGAATCTAGAGCATTGAAGAAACTCATTATTTAGTATGGGGAAAAATCAACCCCCCCCCCCCCCCCCCC